AGCCCTTTTTTTTGAAACTAGTTGCTTTCTAGTTTTGATTAATGACTTGGCACCAGAAATCAGACATTCAGCAGCACTGGGTCCATATAGAAATGAACTCACTGGGAATCACTGATGCAAAGCTAAAGGTTTAGAGTAGTGACCAGACAAGCCAACTCTTTTAGTTTTTGAATCTTCTACGTGTGTGCAGAGAGTCAGCACAGTTGCTTGTCTGACAGCCTCTGGGTCTGAGGCTTTTGTGCTAGGAACAGTACAGCAGCATAAATTCCAGAATAAGATCAAATCTAGACATAAGCAGAAGTGTATTGTTTCCATTTGTGATCACGTAGTTCAATGGGAAGCCTATTCTGCACTCAGTAGGAGATGTTCAGGAAGATATTTGACACCAAGAGAAAGCAAATGAGATTAGCAGTGTTTCTCTCATTTTATAAGAGCACTACCCAGCAGGTTGAGTCCAGTTCAGTGCAGAAGCTCACTTACCTCATCTTACTCTTTGCAGATTACCTTTTTGCTAATTTTCCTGAAGAACTGATAGTCGAAACCGTAGATCTGAATGCCAAAGAGGAAAGAAACAGTTTAGGATGTCCTAAAAGACATTTCATTATGTGAAGAGAGGAATACTTTAGTGAGTCCTGGGTGCTGTGCTTTGCCTCTCCTGGCTTGGTCAGGCAGGGAATCCACTGTCAAGGGTGCATCACTGTTCACAGCCGTTTTGCTCTCATCTGCTCTCAAGCATTCACATACCTCAGCACCTGCATGAGAGGTGTGTTAAAATCGTGTAGTGGCTGTCCAGGCCTTGTTGTGATTAAAGCTGCTATGAGCTGTTCTCCAGAGAGCTGGGCTCTGGTGTAAAAGCTCCTCCAGGCAGATTGGGAACAGCTCAGGAGCTCACTTCCCCCTTCTCATCGAGTTTTGGATGGAAAAACGAGTCTGAAAGCTGCTAATACTTATATTTTTGTATTCAGCTGTGCTATCTGAGGGCGGTATCAGTTATCAGCACTGAGACAGACACAAAAGGGGGGGGGGGGAGAAAATTGGGGCATCTTTGTGCTCACAGTAAAACATGGATATTTTCAAGCTCATTCCTTAAGTGTGGGAGGAAAGGAGTTAGGGATTAGATGTGTGGGGGTGTGTTAATGCAGGTATTTCTCCACCAGCTTCAGCTAAGATCTCTCAAGGCTCATAAATCTGACTAGCAGGGCTCTTGTTTCTGTTGTTGCTGAATGGTATGGATCACTAGGTAGCTTTTTTTCCTTTTTTTCCTTTTCTTTTCTCAACTTTTGTTTTATTATTTGCAAACTCTCTTATCTTGGGTAAAAAGAAACGGCCAGAATAAAGAAACCAAAACAGCCGGGCTTGTTTAGCTTCATTTCATACAGCTTAGCAAAATCCACATTGTTCTTCATGGGTGTTTTTCTTCCGGAGCTAGCAAGGTTTCTCCTTCATTATGAAAAAGGTCTTGACAGTGTTCTTCTGGAGTATATTATTTCTGCCAGGTCATTTTATAAATTACAGTGAGATTTCAAGGCCCAGGAAAAGGCTGGTCCTTGCTGATTCTATAGATCCCACAGCCCACATTTCTCTCCACTGAATGGGCTATAGCCCCTCCTGGCTGAGTCTGCTGATGAATTGAAACATCCAGTAACTACTACAGATTGTGAACTGATGAAGTTAAACAGTGGCAAAGAAGAGGATCTGCAGCTCCTTTGTTTTTTCAGTAGACAAATCTGTATTTCCCTCAAGAGCCTTTTGAAAGACCTTCAAAATAAAGCTCAGGAGGCTGAAGTGCCATCAATTAATCACAAACTGAATTCCTAGCGCAAGGCACACCGCAGCTTTCAGGACTGGTACGTTAAATCCCAGGCCTCTTTCACAGAAGCACCTGTCTGCTGTATTTTGGGGTTTAATTCTGTCATCCTTTTCCTTTTCTTCCTGTGTTCTTCTGATGATGATTCCCCCATCATTTGAGTTATCTTTCTGGCATTATTATTCACTGAAAGGGGTATTTGAAAGGAAGGTGAGGTTTACTGAGAGGAAAGAACTGATTTTATTTCTTCAGGATATCTTTAAGGATACATATTAAAAACAGAATCTCCCTTTAAGCTAAGGCTGTGGCAGACTTCGTTACCTGTTTTGGGAAATTGCTTTTATGTGGAAGTTTTGTATATGCAGAAAGCTGTTTGTGTTTATTAAACAGAAGCACCCATCCAGTTCACAGCTCTTCCATTTCAAGAAGATTGAGACATTGAGGGGCTTTTTCTTGGCTTTTTCTTTGATACTTTCCTAGCAGGCTTGTTCTTATTTAAAGCAAACATCAGACAGTTTTGTTATACCTCCATTTCTCTATGCTTCATGCTTTGGGTAGGTCTCTTTTAACAAGCAAATGATGTAATCTCTCTGTTTTCTCCAGGTCAGCTTCTCACTGTTTTGTTAATGTGCAAAAACACTCAGATTTAAAAAAACCACAAACAAAACAGCTGTCAACACTGTATGTTTGGACTCAAATAATAACTGAAATGGAATATGATGTATTTTTAATCTCTTAATATGTAAAAGGTAAGACATGCACTGAATTAATTCGCTATACAATCAGACACATGACACTAGGACAGGAAGGTCATAGCTTCAGACAGAGAGACACAGGACAGCGGGAGATTTCCACAGCTCATTTAAAATAAGTTCATAGTTTTCTGGCATCTCTAGAATTTGGGGTCTTGTTGCTAAGGAAAAAAGAGAAACTTAAGGACAAGGGAGGTTTAAAATCTGTTGTAGCTTTCTGAGCTTCTTTTGGTAATTCCAGCTTTCCCATGTGAGCTTTAGGTTTATTAATAGTTTGCCTGTCCAATAGTTATCTATCACTCTGTTGAAGAATTAATGTTCACATAGATGTACAGCTTTATTCATTGTTGGGGTTTTTTTAACACTTTGGGCATTACTTCAATGTTAGTATTACCTTCCTGTTCAACCTACATTGAGTAGGAGTACAATGCACAGCAATGGCTTCACTGAGTGAAGGGGTGAGTGTTATTAATAGTAAACATCTCACATCAGCCCTTTGCATCTGAAATTTTCCAGTGGTTCTTGTTCAGCCACAGTTTGGTGTGCACGGTTAATGCAAATCACCAGCCGGTGTTTGAGCTGTTGTGCAGTGCGGCCTTGACACACACTTAGTTGCAGTAACCATTTAATAAGACAAAAAATGCCTACCTACCTGTTGTCCCTCTTTTCCTCAATGGTAAGGAATTTTTAGGGAGAATTTAGGAATACCAGCTGTGGCAGCCAAGTCCCTTAAAGGAGGCAGAGGACCCTTTTAATTTGAGGACCCTCTTGGTTATGCATCTCACCTGTATGTGTGCCATAGAATCAGCAATGGTCCAGTGTTTAAAAAGAGCAATAATGATGCTTAGCATGGAGGTAACTGCTGGGGTGTGGGAGGAGGAGGGAGGAGTGAGAGCAGTCTCACAAAGTTACTGCTCCTGGAGGTTTCCATACCACATGTGTAGGAGCTGCCTTACGTGAAAGCAAAGAAAGAAACACTGCTTTGTGGGCATCTTGCATACAAATACATCTGGGTGCACATCTGTGCTGGGATACAGACATAGATACAGATCGTTAACATCTATTTTCTGAAGGTGATCCAAAGTATCAATCACTTGAATTACTGCAGTAAAACCTGTCTTTTAATGAAACAAAAGTGAGACATGAAAATAAAAGGCAACCTACTTTTAAATGTTTATAGAAGATAAAGGTTTAACCACAAGTCTTTCATCAAATGGAAGACAGTAGGAAAAAAAAGTATAGAAAATGCCCTTTGGCTGCTCTTTACTGTGTGGTGAAACCTCACAGTATCTCACCTCATATACTATATGGGCCCTAAAGGCAGCTGGAAATGTTTAGAAATATGTCTATTTTGGTACATGGCTGCCTCTCTATCTGTTATATCCAGCAGTGTTTCAAGGAAGGGAGATATTTGCTTAAATGAAAAGCCCAGACCAAAGTGTGAGATGGTAAATGGTGCTCGAGGGTATACAGCAGTCTAAACGGTGCCCTCTGTTAAAAGAATCAGCCACCTGACTGCTCATTAGTTAGCAGTAAATAATGAGGAATAGCTTGAGGCAGGAGCTCAGAAGCGCAGATGTCCCAGAATATTCACCCAGTTTGTGGTGTCATGAGATCTGTAGTGTCGTGAGCTAAAATACACTTAATCCCTCTTCTGAGTGAAGTAAAGCATTTTACAGTCTTTGTGGAGTCTAGTAATTTTGTATAATCTTTTCAGTGAGGGTATCAGAGAAGAAAAAGCAAGGTCTGTGAGATCAGGCAATGACTGCATACTTTCCCCCTTCTCCATTGCATCGCATGCCCAAAAGGCATTTAGCAATTAGTGGACACCCCTGGAAATTCCCCCGCTGGGATGCTGCCCCCTCCTCCCTTTCAGAAGGTTGTAGGTGATGCATTTCGAATGAGACTGAGAACAAATCTGAATTTCTCAGACGGTTCCTGTTCTTTTAATAGCAAGACCAGTATCTCAAACCAGAATCGCCCTGAAAAGGGGGGAGTTTGGGTGAAGAAGGTAGGCAGTGGCAAGATACAGGCAAAGCCCAGCTCCTGTTTAACAGTGATGGTTTCATTGCAAAGAACTGCAGAAATACATGTGGCTTGTAGAAGTATATATGGCTTGAGTAGAAATTTGTTTTAAAGTCCATGGAGAGTTTTAAAAAAGGCTGTATCTTGTATCTTTTTATGTTAAGGCATTTTTATGCCTTATGATATTCCTTCTCTTAGAGAGTTCTATAGCAAGGCTGGGTTTCTTTGCTAAATTTTAGGTCGCTTTAGATATTGGGTGCTTTCTAAAATCAGAAGGTATTCATTGTAGAGTTCTTATAAGCATTTAAGCAACAAAGAAGCTTCAGCCCCATTAAATTTTAGCAAAACTAAGTGCCTGCATTTCCCTTTGCTGAGCATTCCTCCTCCCTTTTTTCTGTTTGTGCCACAGTTTGGGTACAGCTCCCCAGCTGTATGTGGCTGTGTGAAGCAACACTCTTGAGAGGAAGATCAGAATAAAGATGAAAGTCAAGGTCTGTTCTCCATGCCTAGCCTGATGCAACACCCCACGCACTGGTGAGTAGGAGTGGGTCTTGTCTGGGTCTGTTCTGGCTTCTCTCCACCTCCTTGACCCTTGGGCAGCGCATCAGAGCCTAAGCTCCAGTTGGTCTCACCCCCTCTTGTATCAGGTGTCCTCTTATGTCACCCTCTCCCTACAGCTCACAGCAGTACCTGCCTTGATGTTTCTTTGATGTGCCCAGCTTAGCCTCATACCAGACAGCCCCTGTGAAGGTGTCTGCACAGGAAGGTACTCCAGGCAGACTCCAATGCCACGGCTGTTACATGCTTTTCAGTCATTGGCAGCTATAATCATTGCCTGTGGGGGTACTGGTTGAGGTCCCTGCCCCATTCACAGTAGGTTTCTTACCTCCTCCTTGCAGCAATCTGCCTCTGCTTGTGGCCTATTTACCATGCTTTGTGTGTTCGTTATCTGAACTAAGATGCTGACCTGAACCCCGCTTATCCGTGCCTTCTTACCTTCCAGCACTGTGTCAAATCCTTTTTGCTGAGAATGTTAAACATTTTTTTCTCTGGTCTGAAAAATCAAACAAACACTGCCTGGGAGCTACCTAAATCCCGTAACCAAGGGGTTTAAATTAGGAAGTGTTCTGTATAGGAAGAGCTTAAAAACATAGGCCTAGGCTGCAAGACCAGGTTCTTTCTTTTGTTCCTGTAGACTTCTCATGGATCTCAACATATATGTTAAAGGCAGGGGGGACATTTGCAAGCAGATGGGAAGCTGGGCAGTAGTGTGAAAGCATGTGGAGAGGAGGATGGATGCCACCGATGAGGGTACTCTGCCAGGGAGGGATAAATCTGGCTGTGTCCTTCCTGTCTATGCTGGGCTGTGGCCATCCTTGTTCTTGACATCTTTTTCCCTGCTGATGCCGGGGTCCTGCATGTGCTCAGAAGTTTTTGTCTGCCCTGGGGATCCAAACTCAAAGGTAGAGGGGTTCTCCACCAAATGACCTCTGAATGGCAACAGCCCGGGAAAGGCTGCTGTGTAGCTGCTCTGGGGATATTAAACTGTGAGAGAACTGATCTAGCACTTTTTATGCCCTTTAAACTTTCATATTCTCTGTCTCTTTCTCTGTCATGCATTTACAGGTATAGAGATTTAAAAAGAAAGTGCAAGTGGAAAGAGAAGTGGGAAATCCAGCCTCAATAAACTCTCCATAAAATCCACAAATTAAGAGCTAGTACATCATGAAAGCATATTAGTCAGAGAGCTATAAATTCCAGCAAATTGATTGTCATATATAATCAAAACCATACTATAATATATAATAAGTTGGAATAAATACCGCAAACCAACCTCAGGCTGTAAGTTTAAGATTAGCCCTTCATACCACATATACCTGAGGTATAAATAAAGAAAGCAGGAGTGCTTAAAAAAAATAGAAAAAGGGAAAAAAGGTGTGTGTCCTAAAAATGGGGGCTGAAATGAAAATGTGATACTTTGGGTCACACTTAGAAAGGGACTGCAAATCACTGGATGGCTTGAAAGCTTTTCAGAGCATAGATGTGTTTTCATGCACCGCTTAACTGTGACTGGTCTCCTGTTCTTGAGCTGAACCCATAAAGAAGCTTCTAATGATGGTCCTCAAAGAGCGTGTGTGTGGAGGTGACAAATGCCATGGGTGGCTGTGACACAAGGTGTGCCTTGAGCAGCGAGCACAGCAGTGGTTTGACTTGGTCAGGAATGGTTGGAGACCATCAGCTGGGACTGCAGGAGTCCGGCTGGCTGCAGTACTGCTGTGGCCATGTCCAGACCTGCCCATGCTCCCTGGGTGTTCCTTTACCCCCACAGTAAGCTGCAGTGCCTGGGACACCTCAGTTACAGATGGGCTCATTCAGAATGATGGGATGCCTCCAGGAACTACCTCATGGTTTGCGATGCTCACCAGGACCTGCTAAATGCTGATGAGTTGATGGGTTTCAGATCATTTGTCAAATTATTGTGTAGGCTTTTTTGAAGCTACATATTTCTTCTAACATTCATATGGTCCTAATAGCCCAGAGCTAGCAATAACCTGTATTTAATGTAACGGTGTGCAATTCTTTCTATGGGTAATCTGAAATTACCTGACAAGGATTCCCAGTGCCCAGCCTAGAAGCTAGTTTCTTCTTTATTTAGTATATATTCAGTACTAGTTGCCCAAGGTGCCTTCCTCTCTGCGTTATTATGATATAGGCCTCTGGTTTCCCATATCATACATGTGGAATTTCTTTTCTCAGGACCTGAGCAATCTGAATCTAATCCTTCAGCAGGAAAGATGTTTAAACATCGTGGCACTGGGCCTTCCCCGAGCTTAAAATCATAACCTACAGTGCTGCCTCCCAGGCAGAGGAGCATCTGCATTAAGGACACCACTGGATTAAGCAGTGATTAATTATGTCAAATGGGAGAGGCAATGAGTGAAATCATACGGAGAAACCAATGGGAATGGCTGGCAGCAGGACAAGGCAACCTGCAGGATGGCTGGGCTGAAGATGCCAATCCTGGTGCCATGTGGAGGTCTCCCAGCCTGTCTGCCTGAATCCATGCCAGGGCAACTGCTGACTGGGAAGCAGAAATCTGTTGGGGCTGCAGTCACTTAGGGTGGAGGCTTGTAAAAGGGAATGCAACCTCACCTGAGCTGGGGGCACTGACTGCATCACCTTCCCAAACACACACCGAAGGGTTAGGCAGTTTTCATTCACATGGAGCCCGAATTGCACGGTGTTTCCTTCTGTCAGTAACTACTGCCAAAGCCCTTCAGGTGAAGATAGACTTGAGAAGCGTCCCGAAGCTGCCCGAAACCTGATACTTCCTTCCTGGCGGGATTCGAGTCCCGCTGTCAATAGCGTGTCAGTGCCGAACGGAAGCAGCGATGTTTACAGAGTTAACAAATGGACTTCAAGTTAAACACTGTGAGGCAGCTTTGTTCCCCAAGCAGTGGCCAGTCTGCAGAGATTACTCACAGGTGAATGTTCTGTTATGCTTTCTGGACTTATTCTAACATCGTGTCATTTTTAATTGCTTTTCTTGAGAAAATATGCTTGTGACTCCATCCTCTTAGCCTCCTTAGAGTGCTCTCCATGTTAACCTCTTCCCAAGGCCACGTTCACCATTTCTAAATCACACGTATACCTTTGCTGACTTCAGTTCCTCCAGTTTGGGAATGCAAAGTTGTATTCTGCATGTGGCATGTGCTCTGCAGTGTTAAACTCCGGGCTTGCATAGAGTACAAGACTGAATTGTACAGACTTTTTTATATTGGGCCCTGATCCTGTGAAGAAGTACATGCTGCACGTATTTCAAGCAGTCTTTCTCTCTTCCTGCAGACAGGAAGCTGTTCAGCGTGTGCCTAAAGCCCCACAGAACTGCGACTTGCAATATGTAAATCCTGCAGCAAGGAGAAGGTGAAGCTGCTATTGCAAGACACCCTTGGGACGGTGCAAAGCAGGAGGCATCTCCCTATCTGCCAGCGTGGTGTGTGTCTGCCCCGCTTTGTTAGACCCCCATCCTCCCTCCAGCCACTGCAAAATTGGATGCTCCCAGTGCTCACATCCAGATTTGTCTCAGGGGATCCCTGAGTGGGTACAAAGCCTCAGCAGGAGTGGGCCCCCTCTGCTCGTCATCACCACTAACCATTTGGGATGAAGTACGCAGACAGTGTGATATTGCTGACAAACCCAGCTATAGCTGGTGGACTGGATGTACATCACTTGTTTCAACAAGTAGCAAATATGAAGCTGGAGGAGAGGGCAGGAAAATATCCAGAGCTGAAATGAATGTTATTGCTTTTCAGTAAGCTAACAGGACTCCTTGCAATAGGATCAAAATAGATGTTTATCTGCTCTTATGAAAAAAAAAGAGAGGAAAAAAGGAAAGGGGGTGCTGCTGCCAAGGTTTATGAAGAAGAATCTGTATTATTGCATTATTTTGGTTAAACACTGTTTATCAAGTTTTTCCTTTCAGTCGGCACTCTTAAATGTAAAAAGCAGATCTATCAGCATCTAATGTTTCTTCAAAACACCATGTAGTGTCTAGAAGACTGAACTATCAGACATGCTTGTCATGTACACATATTTTGTTATTAGATGTGTTCGGGCATGAATTTTGGCAGGGTTTATTCACAACTATCCTGAACTTTTCTTGACACTTTTTATGGCACGTAATACATCTGCAACTCAGGGCTTGGTAAGCCCTTAACTCTTTAATTATGAGCCTAGAAACTCCCTTCCTAATTATTGTCCTATAAGCAACATGATCTAATTCTCATGCCAAAGCCCAGGAATTCATGCTGCAGGTGCTCCGCTTTGTTTGGCTGCCTTTTGCTTTTTATGGTGTCAGGAGAGTAGTATAGGCTCTGCGTTCTTGTGTCAGTGTAATCCTGGAGCAGTTTGCATTTGCTTGCTAGCTGACCTGACTGATACCTCGCATTTGTCACTTTCTCCTGCATCTTTTCCTCCAACTAAGGACGGTGCTCAGCTCTCACACAGTGCATGCCATTTAGACCAAGTTTAACCAGAGGACTGATTTCCTCCTGTAAAGTGTTAGGGTTTAGTACTGGGATTCGTACAGTGCGAAGAGATGCCAGAAACCTTTTTAAAGTGAGTTGGATTCGTATAAGTGCTGTAGGAAACAAGAGTAAGACTTACTTATCTGATGTGTCTAACGCTATGTAAATCCCATTTTACCCTACAGGGAAACTGAACTGGAAGCTGGCTCAGTGTCTTGCTAAAGGCCACAGAGGTTATTGGCACCAGAGAGTGAACAGACCCGCCAATCCCAAGTCTGTGCGAACACTTTGAAAACTTCATTTCCTTCTATTGGACTGATTTTAATGAGAATAATGAAACAGGGAATTCTTCTCTCTTTCTTAGGGCCTGAGGGAGGAAGTCAGGAAAAAGCTTGTCTGATGATTTAATTACTTTAATAAAAGAGAGAATTACCTACCAAGATATTTCTGTGAAATTTCTATAGAGATGCATCTATTTTATTAAATATTAAGTTAGAAAGCAAAGAT